CCCCAAAACCCCAAAACCCCAAAACCCCAGTAGTTGCAAATTAAAAAAATGAGATCAATAAACATACTTTAAAATAAACGACTACATAAAGTTATCTGATTTTTAATGTTAATTTAGTTCATGTCTAGCCTCCTGAGTTCAAATTTACAAAGTGAAGTTAAGGTCCAATAGGACCACCACTGATATGATTATTAATTGTGCTGCATGAACTAGAGCTTTGATTTGTCTCCCCAAAATTTTTAGGAGCTTTACCGAATGTCTAATTAGGAGGGGAGATCAGACTTGCTTTCTTTTGGTTAATTAGTTAAGTTATTTTGTTTTCTAATTCCATATTCATATTATTCTCACTCACATAACCATTGTATGAATATGGACTCTCTTCCATCATAGACTGATTGTTATTAATATCCTTCAATACAGAACTAGAGTTGCTGTCTTTTTGGGATTAGTTTAAGAGATAGTTTTACTGAGGATAACCTAGACTTTATACACTTTATTTATTCGCATTTTAATTTATCTAATATTATTGTTGACTAAGCACAGTCATATTTTCATTCTGAAAAGGTTTGTTAAATCTCATTGCTTCATGTTGTTATTAGCTATTATTGCTCTATCTTTTATCACTGACTGAGCAACCATTTTCAACCTTAGTTTTAAGTAAGTTTATCTAGCCTTTCAAGTCGCTTATTTCCTTTTGATATTTTAAATCTCTCTTTATGACCTCATCTTTAAATATTCTAAAATATTCGTTAACCTCATTGAGGTTATGCAACTCTATTTCAAAAGAGTCATTACATATATACTCACTAGCTGCTTTTTCACATTCAATTATCTCTTCCTAATTGAGATCTCTATCAAGGAACCTTAATTGATTGTTATTTATTGTATTGCTAAAGCTTTGCTAGTGATTATGATTACTCTATCTTTCCTTGCCAGATGTTGTGTTAATTGTCTGCTCTGAATCTATAGCTCCAAGTTCCAGATGATACTCTGATGACCTTTGAGGTGTGTCCATTTATGATCTACATGATATTTGTTTATATAGAGGAGTGGTCAGCACACTCTATGATTATTATGAAACCAATGTAAGTTACTACTGCTTTATTATATCTTCTTACTTTTAAACAGTAACTTTCAATAAGTGATTTTCAGTTTCTAATCGTTAGACCATGGTATTAAGATCAAGGACTTCGTTAACTCTAACCTCGTTGATTAGTTTAGCACACCTTTAAGCGAATCTGGCTGTTGAAACTGACTCTTCTTCATTCTCAATATCTGGACTCATATTTGCAATCATGACTGTCTTGCAATTGCCGCCTAAACTATCTCTCAAAATAGAAGTCATCATAGAATTTCTATAAGGAACATGGACTCGCGTACCCTTTGCTTTTTCATGGAGTGCTATGATCACTTACTCCAAATATGATAAAGAACGGTTGATATATTTAGCTTCAGTCTTGATCTAAGAGTCTGGATCACTTTTATAAACTCTTTCACTTCCTGCTAAATCTACTAAATGCAATTTCGAGGTACGAATAATGTCATTTGTCAAGTCTTTGCTTTCAATGGCAATTGTAAATATGCAATGAGATCTAGATGATGCTGGATTCATCGGAGTTGCACTCACTTATCTGATAAAATTTCCCATCATTAATAAGTCGATTGCATCTTGTTCATTTCTACATGTATGAATGGTTAGATTTTTCAAATGTAAATTAGAACTGTTATCCTCATAGAGAGATATTTTATTCCATTTATCGAATTGCAGTTCAGCATGCTTTCTGTCCAATAAATCATAGCCATTCTCATTGTAGATCTCAAAGTAAGATACATAAACATTGTATTCTGTGTAGGATTACTAAGATCTTTATCGGATTTCGTCAAAGAGGTAAGTGAATACTCTTGGAACTATTCCTCTCTGATTCCATGTATCGCCACCACTCATAGAATAAGTCTTGCCTGAACCAGTTTAACCGTATGCAAATATTGTTCCATTATATCCATCTAAGCAGCTATAATATTTAATTAAGATACAATCTATTAATATTTAAATTACTTTTGGACTACAGGTTGCGCAACTGTCTCAAAAATCTCTGATTAAGAAGAGTCCTAATCGAAAACCTATGTGAATTTGAATCTATGCGACTCTTTTGCATTGTTTACGATTCCTTGTCTAAGATCTTTAGGGATAATTATTTCTAGGACTCTTCCATTGCCCTCAATATTGTATATAGTCTGATGCGTAGGATTTCTGATTTGACTATATAATTTAAAACTAATTAGTACCCATTGTTTGGTCTTATTCTTGCGAATGCTTCAATCTAAGCTTTTACCATAGATAGTTTATATTTGTAAATTAACTGTTAAATTTATAATTATTCCCTTTATTTATGAATTCGTCAATCTGGGGTTTTGGGGTTTTGGGGTTTTGGGG